GCATGCAAATATTTAAACTTCTTATTGGTTAATTTAAATTCAAATAGTAGACCTTATATGGTATAGCGTAGTACCCTCCCCCTTAGACCAAAGTACTCCCTGTAGTATAGTACCCTTTCAACTTCACGAATTGGTAAAATACCCAGGTACTTTAGTCAACCGTTTACGGTAAATATGTATATTATTAATTAATATTAAAAATTACTAAAGTCAGATAACAAAAATCATTAGTTGAAATATAAAAATCAATTTATATAATATATAAAAAAAAATCAAAAGAAAATTTTTTTTATAAATTATTAATTTAAATAAAAGAGTATAATAATTTAAGCTATTTAATATAAATTTTATAATTATAAAAAATTGAATTAATATTTTAAGTAGTATAGTAAAAATTATAAATTTATTATAAAGTTATAAAATTCTAATTTAAAATCAAGAGATAAATAAATATTTAATAAAATTTATCCCTAACCCTTAATTATAATATCATTAAATTTATATATTAAACATATCATACTATTAACCTATTATTCTATATTTAATATATAAATCATAAATAAGTATTATAAAATCTTCAGATAACTAATAATATTATTATATGCATTATAAATTTATTTTTCAATTAGTAAATTTAATTTTAATATATATAATAAATTTAATGCAAATTAGTAGAACTTTTTAAATAATTCTGATTAAAAAAATTAATTCAAACTAGTTAAATAATTTCAAATAACTTATTTAAAATATTAGTAAGAAAAATCAGTATTATTGAATTGATTTAATGAATTTAAGAGAAGATATAATTAAAGAATAATTAGATTTATAGATATATTTTTAAAGAAAAATAAATAATAGTTAAAAGTAAAATTTTAGAATTATCTTATTTAAAATATTATTTAATTTTTCTGAAATTTTAAATTAAAAATTTGATGTCTAAAAAATGAAATAATAAAAGAATTCTAAAAAAAAATATTAGTAATATTAAAAATAATAGGATAGAAGATAATACTATATAGAAATATTTTTAACTAATAAAAGTTCATAACAAAAGCATTAAATATAGATATATATAGTGATCAAATAAGTAATTAGAATCACGTTTTTATTAATTAAAACATAAATAAATGTTATAGATAAATAAAAATTTATATATATATACTTTGTAACTGGTTTTTTTAAGAATTAACTTGTTAACCTGTTTCTCTATACATCCCTTCAAAATCGTCTATAAATAAAATTGAGATCTGGGCTATTTGATAGCCTAGTCTAATAATTTTAGACAATGTGTAGAAAGAAGTTTCTTAGTTTTCTTAGTTATATATTTAGAATCATTATCTTATTAGAATACCTAGAACCTCCTCATCATAGAATTTGCATTTTCAACAGATTTTCAGTCAAAATTTCACAATAAAAATTTTCATCTATTATTCCTATAAAAAAAAACCAATTAGACCTTTTGTTAAAAAATATCATATGCATAAACTTTGTATAGATGTTTTACCATAGGCTTATGTGAAGATTATGTGCCAATCTTATAAAAGACTTTTGGGTATTTTAAAACATTTAAAATGTGATTTCATTAGAAAAAATAACTTTATTCTAATTTTGCCTTCTGTATTTTATAGTAAACTCTACTATACGTTGCTTCTGAATGTTTGTTAATAAAAATATAGATTTTGGAATAGTATTGATATAATTAAGATTATTAAGTTCATTAAGTATAGTCTGATCAATTATATTAAGCTCAATATAATTTTTATTCAAAATATTTGCAAGTTCAGCACATGTTAAAATTTATTTGCTGAAATAAGACAATTTAGAAAATGACATTTTTTAGGAGAAAGTTTCTTTAGCCTTTAAGAGCAAGATAAGAGGTTTAAAGTATTACTATTTTTAAGTTTTTTGATATAATCATATAAAAGAACATAAAAAAAAGGTTAATTTGTGCAAAGTTTTAGCATTACAGATACCACTATCCTATAAAGTATTTACAATTATATGATATTATTCAAGTATAATATTTACTATAGTTTCCAAAAGAAAAATTTGAAGGCTAAAACTAAATAAACAAATAAATATATTGATTATTTATTATTATGATTATTACGTCACTATGTGAAATTTTAAGCTGATTAGCTTAATAATATGAGAGAAAATCATATTTTATTATATAGTATTTTTTCTGATTACTTTTTTTAACCATTGTAATTAACTAAAACTGTTAGAATATAGGTAGAGTTGTTCAAATACAATATATGAATAAAATTTTTATACAAGTACAGTATTTATATATTATATTATGTATTTAATAAAATTTTAGTATATAATAATTAATATGATTATATATAATATAATTGTACTTCATATAATTTTTGTATAATTTTTATATTTAGTACAGTAATATAATTAAAAATATTAAAAATATTGCATTTATAATTTTTTTATACAAAATGATTTAAAATTTAAAAGAATTTATTGTTAAAATATGTAAAAAAGTAGATTTATAATAATTTATTTGTCTAAAGCATAATTAAAAATATTTTTAATTAGACTTATTTTTATGCAATATTTGTCTATCTATATATATAATTAACTAATAAGATATATTGTTATATTATCTTATTATATGATTTAATTTCCAGATGTGATTACTCTTAAATTATTTTTTTTATGAAAGTTAATCAATTAACTAATTCGAATGCTTCAGATGCTTCAATGATTCTTATTATCTAATGTTACTATAAAATTTGTTTTAAAATACTTAATAAAAATCATTTAAAATTAAAATTATAATGATAAAATTAAAAGAATTTTTACAGTTGCAGTGAAAGTAATAGCATTATAAATACTGCTTATTTTTTAAGTCGTAGCATATTCATTTTTTATTTTAGAATTTTTTAATATTTCTAGAGTATTCTTTATAAATAACATTTAAAAACAAACAAAAAAAGTTGTAAATAAAATGAATTTTTTCATATTTTTCTATTCAAAATAATATTAATCATTCTTAAAAGAAATTGAAATACTGTTAACCTTCTTTAATAGTAAAAAATCTGAAATGCAAAAAAAATTTCACAAAAAATAAGTATTTTCTTACGCTTCTGTTATCTTTATATTAATTTATTAAAGAAAATTAGTAAAATTACTATAGGTTATCAGTCTAGTCAACTACAAAAATTGGCTTTTAAAAAATGTTACTAAATTGGAATAATTATCAAGTATAATCATTTTACTACAGTAAGTGTAATGAAAGCCTAACTTAAAGAAAAAATCTAGAGCTTGAAATTAGTAAATAGACCATTTATTATAAGCTAAAAAACTTAATTTTATATCTATTCATCTTAGAAAGATTCTTTTTAATACAGAAAGTAAAAGAGAATTGGTTGTTTTAAACCTGTGATCACATGAGTTATAATTGAAAAAAGTGATATTTTTTGATGAAACTATATTACAAATATTTTATAATACTATTTCTGTATAATCATATGATAAAAACCTATTCTAATAATAAAACACTCATTTAAAATTTATGTTTGAAATGCAATTAGCATTAAGGGAAAAATTGGCATACACATGTTTATTAAAATTTTAGATCATCAATTATATTGTCAAATTTTAAATAAATATAATATGATAATGCAAGTGTAATATATAATAACTAATGGATTTTTTAGCAAGATAATGATCTATAACATACTTTCTGCGATGTTTAAAGTGATTTAGAAACTTACCTTTAAGTTAAGTTTTTTCTTGGCTTTTTTATAGCCTAACCTTAATCCTATTGAGAATGTTTAAGCTATTTTAAAGAAAAATATTGAAAAAGAGGTTAAGAGAATAGTGATACAAAGGAAAAAAATCTCAAAAGAAATTTTTTTAAATTTAATTAGAAAGAAATAAAATGATATTGAAAATATTACAATAGTTAACTGTTAATAGCATATCAAGTTACATTAAAACATATATTAATATAAAAGGAAGTTATACTAAATATTAATAAATTAATAAAATATATGTAATTTTTAGTTATTTTTCAAAAAAAAATTTTTTTTTTGATATTTTATTATAAAATTGCATACATATTATTAAAAAATTGAGTGCTATTATTTTCATCAGGATCAGTACATATTTTAAAAATTATCAAAATTTTCAAAATACATATAATCAACAAAAAAAAGAAGAGGCTTTTAATGTAAAAATTTTCAATATTTATATAGTAAAAAGGCATTAACTATTACACAAAGATCTTTATTTCAATGCATTATTGATAATTGGGATTATAGCTGTAGATCTCCTTTAATACCTGAAAATCATGAATTTTATAATATTTTATATGTTCGTGAAAAAATATCATGTGAATCACCAATTGAATTAAGTTATTATTCATCACGTAAAAACAATCCATCTATATGTTATTAGTGTGAATATGATTAAAGATTGGTGAATTTTCCAACATGTATAACTTCTAAATATAAATTTGTATTTCCTTTATATAATATATGTCAAAGTGAAAAAAAAGATTTTTTTACACGAATTGAAATTAAAATTAATACCAAAAGAAAAAGAGGCATTAATAATTAATAATTTTTTATTATTTTATAATAAAAATTTATAAATAAAAATGTGAATTATACATGAATTATATATATTAAATTTTTAAATTAATTTAAATAAAATTTAATATTTGTTTAACTTTACTTATTGTTGTTTATATCCCTCCCCCTCAGTTATAATTTTATATGTTATGTTAAACAAAAATTTTAATTGGTCTGACTTAATCAACAAGCATTCGCTCAAAGTAACTAGCCAAATTATAATGTCTAAAATAATAACCAGCAGCAGAGAGAAAACATTACTTGCTTTAATTGCAGACAACCAGAACACATAAGGAGAAACTGTCTACTTAACACCTTTACAAATAATCAACAAAATAATAATCTACCACCTATCATTAATCCAATGTTAGTAAATAATGCTTTAAATAATCCTCTACCACCTCCTGTTAATATGAATAATAATAATATTGTACAAAATAATAATACTGTAAACTTGCAAACGCTACAATTGTTAATGCAAATATTACAGCAACAAGATGCTGATAACAGTAATCAGTCTTTAAACTAGAAGGTATACCTTAAGAGGATAATGGTACAGAACTTTTTACAGTTCTCT